CAAGCTGAACACTTTTCTCAAAACGTTAATTCCATGATAATTACGAATAATCATGGATAAAGTACACATTCAAAATTTTTAATGCCTCCACACTCTAAGGATTTTAAATACTCCCACTTGAACAACATAATTGAACACAATGATACTCATTGAAGTGCAAAACATTAGACAATAAGAATTAATATAACCATAAAGTATCAAATATGGTTTAACAATATTAATATAAGTAAACACACCTTTATAGTAATAAAATAAACATTGAATACAATATACTTGCAATTTTGTACTCCAAATTCACTGAACATCGTGTCAAAATTTAATTAGACCATAAACTAATTAAATATTTTGCGAAAAAAATATTGTTTCGATTAAACACAACCTTGAGAAATTTTGACAAATATAGAATATAGCCCAAATTCATCATTCACCAACATTCATTTTAATAACTTAAGATTATGAGGACTCGTACAAAATTTTAAATTAATTGTTTTAATTATTAAGGTATAAAGCTTTAAAAACTTAAATCATATTGATCATACTACATGGTAATATTATTATGAGGATGTTTGGTAAGGACTAAAATTAGATTTTTTAATAAATTGTGATGAAAGTTTTTGAAATGTGTGGTTGAAAAGTTGTGGGCCCATGAAAAATGTGATTAATATTGATGATTTGACTTTAACTTAAATTAAAATCAAATTTTAATCAAAACCAAACATGGGCTATGTGTTATTCTAACATTAAAATATGAGTACATATCTAAATTGAATGGTAATAAATCACTATGATTCAGGAGAATTACATTTAAACCTCTTTTAAGATATCAATTAAGCACATTATTGAGGGTTAAATATGTTAACCCTTTTTTTCAAAATAAAATCATAGAATCCCCATGTAATCTAACTCAATTAATTCACATGCATGACAAAAATACTAGTTTTGGTTATGGTATAAAATGATAATATCTCATTGCATATTTAGACAAGAATTTGTCTTACTTCTACCATATAACTATCTACATTAAAAATTTGAGACAATGTCAAAAGAAATGTTGGAAGAATGCCATATTAAAGTCATTAGACCAATTTAGTATATGAGCTAGAGAATTGTGGGATGCAAAAAAATTTCACCCCTAATTACAAGTCACCTTGACGATTGCATCAAGGAATTTTTCAAATATGCAACTAAGAAACTGATTGTACACTAACAGAATTCAAACCATAGAGAAAGCAGGGGAAAAGAAAATTGTGGTTGAAGAAAATATGAACGAAACACCAAGACTAACGTCCCACAATGGATGCTTCTAACTCATCTAATTTGACCACTTTTGCTCTTTAAGTTACACGTAGGCCATTTTTGATTGGCCCTTTTTCCAGGGAAAATAATTTCATTTTCCACCAATTTTGTGCATTTGATAGCAAAACTTTTCCATGGAATTTGTTTTCCATATTCCCCCCCCCCCCCCCCCCCCCCCTCCCTTTTTCTTTTTTTGTACAATTGCATTTTCCATGGTTTGGTGGAAAAATCAATTCTCATCGTTTATGTGAGAATTAGTTTTCCACCTTTTTTTTGTTTTTGTTTTTATTTTTGGCAATGAGAACAAATTCTATGAACGATTGTAAAAGATGATATCCCTTAAATTGACAATTTTCATGTAAAATAAAGCAAACGAATATCAAAATATAGATGATTTTTGAAAAAAAAATTGGCAATGGAAAGAAATTCTAGAAATAATTGTAGAAGTGGATATTCCTTAAATTGACGATTTTCATGAAAAACGAAGCCAAACGAACACGAAAAGATACTTTTATTTTAACATTTTTCATGTGGAAAAAAATTATATTAATCAAACACTGTTAATTGACAATTCTCACCAAAACAAATTTTAGGCAATTAAATTCCCTTTAATTTGTTTTCTTTCCACGCAAATTTCATTTTTGCAATCAAACGAACCCTTAGTTTTATCTTTATGAACTTAGAACATTCTGTGAGCCAACAAAGATACCTGAAAATCATCGAAGGTGTGTGTAGGGATACAAGTTACCTGGTTTGCATTTTTGAAAAATTATATGAAGTCACATCTAAAGGCATAAATTATACACAAATTAATAACATTCTCCCGCAATATGAAAATCTAGAAATAATGCAATTTTGTTGGTCAAAGTGCAAAGCCAATACAGCTAATCCATACGAGTCAAGCCTATCTATAACCACACAATTCCAAATACTACTACATATAGTTAATAAAGATGTGGATTAATTTAAAAATAACATAGAATGTGAAATACTCCAACAAAGAGAGAAACATGGAAAGACTAAGATCAATCATATGGGTTTATCTAATTAACAATTAGTGAGATTAATACCATGAACAAATCTCTATGGAAGAGACTAGAGGTACTTACACAACTCCATTTGCATATTGATTTAACTTTTTGTTTTAAAATTTTAGATTTGCCTAGTGATCAATTCTTTATTTAATATCAATGACTAAAATTTGAAAATTATGATCCCCAAATATTTCAAAATTCAAGTCCACACCAATCATTATTTTGCGGACACAAATAATGCTTATTAAAACAATGTCATCATCAGATCCAATACTATACACCATACATCAATATATGACAAAAATTACTAAAGAAATTCGCAAAACCATCATAGCTAGTTTTTAATCATTATTTCTATCAAGGTAAAACAAAATCAATCCTTAATTTACTTCTCCATATCACATTAATCAGAAAGTTAAATTGATTGGGTCAACAAGTCCATATTTTTGAGTTTTGAATAAAATTCATGTTTCAAAATTGATAAAAAAACAAAAAAAAAATACTTACAGAATAGGACGGCAATAGGGAATCCATTTTTTTCTCTAATCACTTAGACGCTCACACACAAGATATATTTCCTGCACTTTTAAGATCACAAAAATAATTGTCTACATGTAGATAAATTATCAATTAATAAATCTAAATAAAATAATTTTATAATTGCATAAGCATAAACAATATTCTAACAATATAAACATTATTACTCAACAATAAAAAGAGGTTTAAAATGCAAGGCTTAGGGAGTTATGTCAATAATGCTGTTCTAGAGTCGTATTACCTCACCTTCATGCGAGTAGGGGTGGCGTGTGTTGGGTTTGAGTTGAAAAAAGGGTTGGGTTTGGTTGATTTTTTTCCCAACCCAAACCCAATCCAACCCAAACCAGTCAAGTTTGGGTCGATTTGGGTTGGGTTGATCGGTTTGGGTTTCGACCCGCTTAAAGTTGGATTCGATTTAATTGATAAATTTATATAATTTTTTGTTGGATATTGGTTAAATAAATCGAGAATTGAAAATCGATTAAAGTGACTTCATATCGACTTCGACCAAATACTCAAAAGCTCGACTCAATCCGTTTAAGCAAAATTGTTTGCCACTTCGCCGCTTCGGGGCGCACAAACGGGGATCGACCTGACCGGGCAGGTCGCGAGGGTCGAGGGGGCAGCGCCCCTCGTGGGGGGTCGGGGGCAACGCCCCCGAAAGAGAATTTTGATTTCTCTGCATGTATTGAAGGGTATATTTGGCATTTCGAAAACCAATATCAGATGAATGAGAAATTACGAAAAAGGACGAAAATCAGTGAATAGACACCTTTTCAAAAAAGGTGGTGCATTGTTTGGAAAGGGTGCATGGTTTGGCCTCAACCATTTTCGTCCACACCCTTTCATGGTCTATAAATAGGACCCTTTGGGTGTCCTATTCCTCACAGTTTGATATGCAAAACGTCTCTCATCCTCTCTTCTATCCAAAATCAAAATCATTTCATTTATTTTAATTTTCTTTCATTTCATCCTTGGAGTACATAAGCCTAAATTTGATTCGTTGTACTTGTGTTTTGGAGTGCTACAAACACAAGTGTAGCCGTTGTATCTTGGGAGTCGATTGCCGAAATCCGTAGGCACCGTTGCGGGGCAAATTCGACTTAAGGACAAATAGTCCAACTCTTGCCTCGGCTTTGTCCCTATCTTTATACTTATTTTTGGCGTCTCTATTCACAAAATTCTTCCAACATTTTTAAAGTTGGAAATTACATGAAAATCTCTGTTTTTTTAAACACATATATAAAGAACTATTTTTAAAAATAAGTTATAAATAAGTTTAAAATTTATGAAGGATTTTCCTTTTTTACAAATTTTTGAAATTCATTAATGTCATTATCATGTCTTTCATTTTTACCTTATTGTCAAATAATATTGCATTTGTACATAGTGTTCATGCGAATCGATCTATGTGAAGAAAATGGACGTTTATAAATTATATGTCATTCTCTTATTTTTACTATTGTGTCTATTTAAATTATTTTTCCATCTTAGATATCAATTTTTTAATTTATCGGGTTGGGTTGGGTTTTAATTCATAACCCGAGACCCAACCCACCTCAAATTCAATTTTCTAACCCAACCCAATCCAATTGAACTTAAAAAATCGATTAAAACCAATCAGTTTGGGTTGGGTTAGTTGAGTTGAGCGATTTGAATTGGGTTTTGTCCAACCTTGCGTGTGAGTATATTCGACGTTACACGGCTCCAAAATAAAATTTATGTGACTCACAACTGGTTCTTCTTCTATACGACTATATTGAGATAAAGAACGAGTCTCTCATCGAGTTGTCAAAATATTATGAAATAATATAAAATTGTAGAAAGGATAATAATCCAAGTTGTTGTATCAAACTATAAAAATTAATTCCCTTTTATAGTGTCAAATTTAACCCTCACAATGATGAGAATTATCCTAATTAAAATAAAAATTACATTATGAAATTATGAGTTTCAATTTTAAAATTAAACCTAAAAATTAAAAGAAAAAATGAAAATTAATGAGTTTTAATTTTGAAAGTTTGAAACTTATTCTAAAATAATAATGTTTAAAATCGCATTTCCCAGGGTAGCACTCAAATAATTGCAGCGTCAACCTAATGTTTACCGCGGTAATTAATTTGGTACAGTTTACCTCCCAGCCGTTGTACCGTTTCAGAACTCTTCGTACAGCAAAGCAAAACCAAATCGAGCTCCAACTTCAACCTTTCCCAATCATCATCAATGGCGATTCCGAAATCCTCAATTCTGACGGTTTCCTCCCTTATCATCCTCTCAACTCTACTACTTTCCGGCGAATCAAGAACAGACACGAATAATGTATTTTCTCCGTGTGGCGATACGAAGGTGCAGAGGAAAGACGGGTTCACGTTTGGGATCGCATTTGCTTCAAGGTCGGCCTTCTTCTTAAACAACAACAATTCAGTCCAGCTCTCTCCATGCGACAGTCGCCTCTCGCTCTCCAACGGCAACTCACAGGTAGCTGTTTTCCGCCCCAAAGTTGACGAGATCTCGCTTCTCACGATCAACACATCCATCTTCTTCCCGGTACTACTACTACTTCAATAATATGCTTGTAGTTTGGTATTGATTTGCTAATTATGGGTTTATGCATAGAAGGTTCTTTAGAATTAGGGTTCTGGTTTTTTTTTATTTTATTTTATTTATCTGGCTGGTTGTGAAAATATGGCTTTCAGAAATTGGGTTTTCTTTGTTTTCTCTCTTATTGGAAATTCCTTTCAGTGGGTTAATACTAGCGGAACGGAACACTAGATTACAGTGTAAAATCAGAAAAAAGATGGAAAGAAGAGAAAAGAAATGGGTAACACTTTTATAGCAAGATGAAACTTTCCTTTAGAGATATAACATAGTCTGACAATTACATTTTTTCCCTGTAGAAAAAACTATGGTTTTTGGTTACAATGTTAATTTTGTGCATTTAGATGTCGGGTTGGGTGAGTTGCATCAAAAAAGAGATTAGTGGGGAGTTTTTCCTTGCCAATGATGACCTAAATCAAATAATTGTTGTCAGAAAGTATAATTTGGGATTATAGTCCGTGAGAGGTAGATTTAAGGAATGCACTAAAGAATTTACAGCTATAGGTGTTAAGAGTTAAGACAGACATTCGTGATACCTTATTGATGGCTAGATCAAAACCTCATGTAGTTCACATTGTGTATTAAGTCATGTTCTATCCTTAATTTGGGTGCTTGATATAGCCAATGTACACTCTTGTCCTTGGATGGATTATATTTGTGTTAATGTTTAAAAAGGCTTAATTTGATGCTGATGTGTTTTATCTAGGTAAAAGCTTGAGGCGCAGGCATAATCCTCAAGATAGAACAATAAAAGAATCCAATAGAATATAAAAATATGCCCCCGTAATAAACCATAAACCCTTTTAAAAAATTCTATAACGAAGTTAATTAACAAAATTTGAACTTCTAACTTGCAAACAAATGTAAATTAGATCAAGAATTTAGAAAATAACAATTTCTCAAATTAGGAACCATATAAATTATATTATATTACTAAAAGTAGAGATAACTCAAAAAAAAAAAAAAAAAAAAAAAAAAAAATTAAATAATCATTTCTAGTATGACCTTTAAGGGAATCAGTAACATCACCATCATCCTCTATGTAAGTTTCATTTCATTCCTTTTAACCATCCTCCAATTGCAATGGCTCATTTTTTCCGGTGTAGGTAGAAAAATGAAAATAAGAACTTTTAAAACCATTTGAGTTATAAAGGAACAACTCAAGAATCCAAGGCCAATAACTAAATGTTTGAAAAATGAATAGCAAAAGAGAGAACACCTTAGTTGGCTTGAGGCATAAGCACAAAAAAAAAAAAAAAAAAAAAAAAATTATATCATCATTGCTAGTATGACCTTTAAGGGAATCAGTAACATCACCATCATCCTCAGTGTAAGTTTCATTTCATTCCTTTTAACCATCCTCCAATTGCAATGGCTCATTTTTTCCGTTGTAGATAGAAAAATGAAAATAAGAACTTTTAAAACCATTTGAGTTATAAAGGAACAACTCAAGAGTCCAAGGCCAATAACTAAATGTTTGAAAAATGAATAGCAAAAGAGAGAACACCTTAGTTGGCTTGAGGCATAAGCCTTACAAATGGCATTCAGATAAAGTTTTTGAAGTGTTTTATGATGGACTCTGAGGCGGGATTCAAGGCACGAGCCTCTTTTTTAAACAACGATTTGCGTCCATATGGTGGAAATGCTTAACAATGGATGGACACAAATGTCTTACCCACATCTTACTAGTTTTTCTTCTGGGCTAAGGATTAATGGTGAATTTGCACTGATTAAGTAGGATGGGTATAGTTACCCAAATCTGGAGACCAGCTGGTTCTCTCCAGTTCCAAAGAAGGGGGAAAACATATCTTGTTTCCCAATCTGAGAACCAGCTGTTTGGCCTAGTTTCTGAGAACCAGACTTATTTTATTTTTTATTCTATATCTTTTGCTTTCTTAGAAATATAAATATGTTGTTTTAGATAGGTTCAATTATAATGTACTGCTTTCTCCTAACTTTGCCCGTTCAAAGCCCTAATCTTCAGTTCATCTCTTCATTAACGCATCAAATTTCTCCATTTTCTAGTTTCTGAGTTGTGTTTAAGATAGATCTCGAAAACACTCAAAACAATCTGCATGCATCTCAGCAAGTTGAGATTAAGTTTGACAAGTAGCACTTAGAGTGCGCTTGATGGAGGCATTTACCTGCTTTCATTTGGAATAACTGAACCATTTATGAATGATTTTTAAAGTATATAATAGGATAAGAAGAATGTAAACAAGTTAATGAAAAGTAATACTTGACAATAAAATAAAATGGATTGCACGCTTAACCAGTATAAAACCAATTTCGCCTGCAAATATCGAAGATGATATAGGGAGTAGACGAACCATGTCAGATATTTAGGAAATTTTGAGTTTGAACAAAATAAACAGCTAACGAGCTTGATTAAGCCTAATATAAATTCCACATCTATCTTATTTCTATAATTTTTGAACATCTCAGGGATCTGTAGGAGGTTATATGGTTGCATTTGCTGGTCGAAGATATGCTGCAAGGTCCATTCCTGCTTTTGTTGCAAACGGTACATATACCGTAACTAGTTTTACTTTGGTAAGAAGATAGTAATAATCCCTCAGTTTCTGACCTGGTACGAATTCATTTTGTGTAAGTAGATCATTTTTGCGATGATACAGGTTCTCGAATTTAAAAAGGGCAGGCTGCAGAACATGTACTGGAAAAGAGATGGCTGCACTTCTTGCTCAGGCAATTCTAACTTTGTTTGTCTCAACAATCAAGACTGCGCAATCAGAACTAATAACTGTAGGAACCAAGGGGGAGGGGGTTCTGTAGATTGTAGCCTTGGTATTCAACTGACATTTTCTGGTACGGATAAGCATGATTCAGTTTTTAACTCGTGGTATGAAGTTCAGAATCTTCGGCAGTATTCCCTTTACGGTCTTTATTCCAATCTGAGGAATTCTCTCACCGGTCAATACAACAAATTCTTTTAGTTTTCTTTGGTGTTTTGTATGTTTTTCATGTGTGGATTGCTGCTTTAAGAATGTAATACGTTATTCTCAACCTCTACACTTCCTGTTCCTGTATTCTGAAGAAATCTGAATAGTTATGTATATTTAAATTCCTTCGCGAATTGACCAATGTATTAAAAGAAAATGATGTTTGGATTTTGAATGAGTGTTTCATGCCCACTGCCCAGCTGTATCTTATTGTTGAATTTGAATGTATACAATTTTAACATTTCATTGTTACTGAAGCTAAGTTATATTGTTATTGTATGCTGCTTATATTAAATTCCTATGATCGCTTTCCCAAAATTATGTATAATGTCAGCTAGTTATCGTTGCAGTGCGGTTTTACATGTTTATGTTTTTTAAAAAAATTCATAGTAATATTCTTATTTTGGTACATACAAAATGGGAGTTCACACTTTCTGCCAGTTACCTGTTTGACAGAATGTTTCAAAGGAACTTAGTTACTTGGACTCCATGATGTACTCAAGCTGGGTATAGTGAAGAATCCTGGATATTATTTGGGCATTACAGAAAAACTAGCATTGGGAGTTGTATCCCTTGCTTGGTGATTAAAATTGGATTCTTAGTAGATTTTGATAAAAGTTGATTAAATGTGTGGTTGAAGAGTTGTAGGTCCCATTAAATATATGGTTAAAATTAACTATTGTGTTTGACTTGAATTAAAATTTTTAATTCTTACCATCTAATGGGATGTGCTTGCATAGTTTGGTTAGCAAGGTTGGTTCTTATCAAAACGTTGTCTAATTGATTTTTATTCAAAACTGGTGATGCGGAGTCAGCAAGATTGGTTTTTGATGATATGAATTTGAAAAATGTGGTGTCTTGGACTGTGATCCTGATGGGTTTTGCCACAAGTGGAAGAAGTGATATTTATCTCGATTTGTTTAGGCGTGTGGTAGAAACTCTTGAAAAATTTTGGTCCTGTGTTCTGTGCTTGAGTTTCTCGAAGGTGAAAGCAAGTTCATGCTTCTGTGCTTAGGAGAGACATGGACATTTTACTGAGGAATGTGATGATGAACTTCTATATCAAGTGTGGTAATTTGAAAGCTGGACAAAAAGTTTTTCATCAAACGGTCGTTAAGGATGTGATTTCTTGGACGATGATTTAAGGGAACATGCAGAGTGGCTTAGATTTTGAGGCTATGAAACTGCTTACAGATATGAACAGACTGGGTTTTAAACCTGATGGATTTGCTTGCACCATCATCCACACTTCGTAGGGTAGAGATATACATGGTTATACCGTGAACACCAATCTTGATTCTGATGAATATGTGAGGAAAGCTTGATTGACTTGTACTCAAAATGTGACTCCTTGGTTGACGTTGAGAGAGTTTTCCATGACTCGGAAAATGGCATTATGGTCTCTTATAATGCAATGATTGAGGGATACTCGAGACAAGGAAATATATACAAGGCACTTGACATTTTCACCAAGATGAGGCTTTGGTCACACCTAGTTTATTAGCCTTCTTGTAATATCTTCTAAGATTGCATTTGGAAGTATGCACTCGATTCACTCTCTCATTATTAAATTTGGGCTCTGTTTTGACATATTTGGTGGAAGTGCCTTGATAGATGTTTACTTGAACATTTGTTAAAGATGCTAGGATCTTCTTTGCAAGAGATTAGTGACAAAGACATTATAATATGGAATTTCATGCTTTCAATCAAAAAATGAGGTGCCTTTTAGACTATACTCAAAATTGCACCACAGGAGAGAGAGAATTTATCATTACTTTGAGCTCGTGACTAGGTTTGGGAATGTGCCCGGAATACTTGCATGGTTTCTCTATTGGGTCGAGCTGGTAAGTTGTATGAAGCAAAGGCTTTTGGCTAAAGTCTCTTGTCTTAGGCCACATAGGTTCATCCTCCCCCATAGACGGGGGGTCTGTCGCCCTAGAAATCTCATGCCAAATACTCAAGACTAAACCAGCAGCCACAGTGTGGAAAAAGCTTTTCTCTGTGCAGAGAAGTTATTCGTAATGAGAAACTGGCCCTTGTTTTAGTTCCTCTAAAAGTTTACTACATTTTTCCTTTCTTTTTTTTGTTTTCAATCATACAATTTTCAATAAAATAATATTACACGTAAATCGAATTTTTTTTAACCACACATTCTACCAAAACTACTATTCCAAAATATAATTTACCCAAATTTCTCATTATAATGGTTGTCAACATGGGCTTACTCTCTTATCTCTTTACATCTTAAAACAAAATTGATTGATATAAAGAAGGTGAGGGAGAAAATGGAGAAAGCGAGAGTATCTGGATAGAATTAAATAATGAAGTGTACTTAGTGTCTACTTGGCACCATTTAAAATTTAAAATTATTTGTTACAGTATCATTCTTCATCACATATTCGTACAATAAAATATTCTTCACACAAACTAATAATTTTTTTTTTTTACTTTTTAACTACATATTTATCAAAAAATACTATTCAAAACTTTTTAATTTTTCAAATAATGGGTGACAAATACGAGCTTATTCTTTTTATGAAATAGAATTCATAATGCTGATTTGATTTATACTTTGTTACTTCTGTTATCGATTCAAGCACATTTTGTGGTCTCACATGTAACTGATTCAAAGTTCTTTTAAAAAAAAAAAAAAATTAATAATCTTTAAATATTAATAATCAATGGGCTTAATACTTTTGATTTTTTTTTTCCCTTAAAAAGTTGCCCAATGATAATATATTAACATCTAATGATGTTATAATTAGATTAAACTTACTAATCTAATTCTTATCCTGACAACCTCATTTCCTCTCTTTACCTGTCTTTCTATCTCGTCATTAATTTTCACGATACACGAAGCTTATCGAAACCGAAAAACATCCTCAAGAAATTTAAAATTTTGGGTTTCAAAGTCAATTTCTTCTCCAGCTTTCCCTCCACGGTCAATTTTCCAGGGAAAATTATAAAATCGTACAAAAATATCATGAAGATTCTGGGAATGTTCACCTTGATTTTTCACTTACCTTTTCAGCCCCCTCCCGAGCTCGAGGTGACTCGTGTTATCACGCGCCTGCACGTTCTCGTGGTCTGTGGATGTTTTGGTGTATTTTCAACGTGGTAAATTGGATATTGTAAAATTTTTATAGTTATTGGAATTTTTTCTTAATTTTCTTTGTAGGAAATATTTTGGCAACAAGTTATTTGAGGGAATTGAGGTTTAAAGATTTTACTAATAATCTTTAGGGAAGAATTTATTATTAATAAATACAGAGGGAGATCTGGAAGCGTTTGATTTTGTAAATAGTAAATATGCATTGAAATTATTTGATCTTGTGCATCAAATTAGATTCTTGGAGCGTGGAATTTGAATTGGGTCTTCTGAGATTTAGATAGTTTGTGTTGATCCATGGATTCTGAGGATATGCCCCTGTCAATTAGTTTGGGCGAATGTTGCAATTGCGGGTGTAGCTGTTCGACGATGAATGGGTCATTTTCCGTTACTTCTCTTCGGTCTGTGAAACGAAAGTTGGATGAATTTAAAGTGGAGAACCAGTTCACAGTCCCAGGACTCATTTTGCCACAAAATGCTCGTGTGGAAATAGGAAATGAGTGTATGGCATTGCGTGAAACAGTCATCAGCCAGCAGCAGACCATTCAGGACCTCATAATTGAGTTGGAGGAGGAGAGGAATGCAGCCTCCTCAGCTGCCAATGAGGCCATGTCGATGATTCTAAGGTTGCAGAGGGAGAAAGCAGAGATTCAGATAGAGGCTAAGCAGTTTAAGAGGTTCGTAGAGGAGAAAATGGTGCATGATCAGCTGGAATTGTTGGGTTTGGAGGATTTACTGTATAAGAGGGAGCAATCCATTCAATCTCTTACATGTGAGGTGCAGGCCTATAAGCATAGGATGATGAGTTATGGCCTGACCGAGGCTGAGGCCGATGGAGAGAACAGTATGAGTCGGAACAACTGTATGATAGAGAACCTTGATGGGCAATTTGAATTACCCCCTTACGAGCTTTACCCTCCTCTGAAGTGCAATTTTAATGAGTCCCGGGCTTATCCTGATGGTGATGATGAAGTTGCATATTTTGAGAAATATGCATTTGGGGAAACACCAGATTCTCAGGTTCAATTGAAAGATTTGGAATACCGAATCAATCAATTAGAAAAAAGTCCTAAGAACATTCAGCCTGAGGCAGAACTTGTTGGTGCCAAAAGTATGCTTGAAAAGGTGATAGTAGGGCAGTCCCCAAGGCAACCTAGCCACTCTAGAAAGTTCTCAGACGATAGTTCAAATTCCTTTTTGGCAACAGGTGAAGATTTGGGTCGAGAATCCTTCACAAATTCTCCAAAACTTGGTGGAAGTTTTAAGAACGGGTTTTCTCAGATGGAGAATTCTAATTTGAAGGTGGATAATACATCAGAAGTTGAAGATGACATGAGTGACAGAGTTTATACAATTGATTCTGTTCACCAGGAGGCTCCATATAATGGTCTGATGGAGCCCAAGGCTTCTGTTGGAATGGTGGATGATTATATGACGACGACCCCAAGGGAGTCACTGAATTTTTTGGATGTTAAAGATCTAGAGATTCAGAAGCTGTATGCTAGGCTTCAGGCTCTTGAAGCTGATAGAGAATCAATGAGACAGGCAATAATTTCTATTGGGACTGATAAAGCACAATTTGTGTTGTTGAAGGAGATAGCTCAAAACTTATGTAAAGAAATGACTCCAGAGAGAAGGATGCCTGTGAAGAAGCCAGCAGTAGTTAGAAGTTTTTCCTTCATGGCAATATTCAAGGTAATCTGATTTGCACATGGGCAATCATTTCTTCATTTAGTTCTGATGGGTAAAATTAGGGATTAATTTGTTTCACGCCTCCAATTATGACATATGTTTGTACTCTACTCTCCTCAATGAACTTTGATCAGTTTGATTTCTGAGCACTCAGCAGTTGTAGCACATCTGATTCTGTTGAATTGGACTACAAGTTTGAACGATAGTGGCCATTAAATTACTTTTGAAAAATTTAGATTAATATCTTTCTGGATTGCACTTGTGCCATTTTTTATGCTTTCAGTCACTGAATTGGACTGAGTATAGTTTAAAATTGTTGTTTTCCTTGTTGGAGTTTTTTTCTTTTTTACATCTCTGTCTGATTCTGATCTCCATACAAAACCTTTTAGTTTACACCATCTGATTCTGATTTCCATATGGTACTACTTTTAAATCGTGTTATATAATTACTTGCAAAATATTATAATTCTTATTTCTAAATTTTACTTGTCAAAAATAAAGACTGAAAAGCAAAAGCTTTTTCAAATTATTTTAATCTTGCATATATCTTGAATTGTCTCGAGTTTTTTCTCATGTTTGCAATTATCCAGTCAGTATGATTGTATGAAATGCCACTATAATTTATAACTTTTTCCTTGTTCTGGAATCATGCCACACATTTGTTTCATTACTACTAACTGTATTATCTCATGTTTTTGTTCAGTGGATCATATCCTTAGTTTTCTGGAGAAGAAAAGTGCGCAGATGCAGGTGAATATCTTTACTGAACTCTGTAATAAAGACATCTGTTCATTATTTCTTCCTGCTGCAAATGTTGCTAGGTTGATTATTTCTATGTTCTACTTTTTTTGTATTTCCACCTAAGCAAATTGTTTCAGCAACTAAAATGTACTACTGCTGGTCAATTTTTAAGCTAGTAAGCAGTAGTCATAAAATGTTATTCTCTAGATTTTACTTTAGACATTGATTCTGTAACCGGTTTGTCTGGAAATATACGGACCCATATTTTTCCACCATGGCGTGCATTCCGTGTCATTGCTCGTCGACCTGCTTCGATTTGTCTAAATGTGATCCAAGCATTTAGTACTATTAGAGAGGAGTAGTATAAATTTTGACCCCAGAACTATGGCAGCCCGTGGCAAGGGTACTCAGATGTGGATAGATATGCAAACCTGGACCAATACACCTGTCTCTTGAGTATTGGGAGGAAAAACTGAATGAGAGGACTTTATGCAGGATAGACATTTATTGATCTGATAATTTATGCCTAAATTAAGCCATCATTTTGTCTTCTTGTAATTAGCAAGTTCTTCTCTGAAGCCAATGAAGAAAATATACCTAAATACAATAATTCTTTCTTATGATTTTAGATACACATTCGGGTTATCAGGCAACAATGCAGGCTTGCTTATGCTCATAGACAGGGGACCTCGTGTGGGACACTGGAGACGTCTTGCTAGTACACAAGTGTAAATCAATACTCTGTGCTCCGTATCCACCTGTGAAGAAAATGGACATCTATTCAAACAGAGAAAATGTTTGGTACAAAACACTTTTCAATACTGTGAAGTGCTATTCCACCATATTGAACATGTCGTGAGAGGATTCTAATAACACTTACCATCGTTGGGGCATGCATATCTTTTGGATTCCTTCTTGGTGCAGAATTGAATGGTTTGCAATATGCTTTTACTTCAATTTGTTGGTGTAAGATGCATTTTCCTGGTTGATCAGAAAATATTGTATTTTTGTGTATATTCTCATTTGGTTCATTGCGCCTTATTAGTTCGTTCCCTTTTGTATGTTACGCATTTATGTACGATTTCTCAATCAAAAGCAGATAGATCTTGGGACATTAATTTTACCTCCCAGTACTGCTATGTATTTGTTACTCTTGTCAAAAGATTTCATATTTCCAGTGAAATTTATGTAAAGACAATTGTAATTGGTGAGATATTAAGATTACCTTTTCAATGGTGCAGTCTCGATTTGGAATATTCTCAGATAAAGCTCGTTTGGTTCCTAGCGAACTCAAACTGGCCAGTTTCTGTTTCTGTTTTAGATTCGTCCTATTCTAGTCCAGTTTAGTTACAAATAATGAATGATCAATGAACCTATATTTTCTTCTTCGGTTCAACTTCATAATTAAGGAAAGCGCAGTGCAAATATATATATTTGATTGAAAGGCACTGCTATAAGAATTGTTCTTCTTGAACAGCATTCATGTATAGTTATAATACTTGAGAGTTGAGACAATAGACTATACTTCACCAGTTTCGATATTCTTTGACTAGATTTCGTCACAAAGACGAAAGAAAAGTGAAAATCGAGCAAAAAGCATCATGCAACCTCTCATTTCCCATTGTGGTATTCAGATGACACATTTGTTTTCCTGTTATGATTTCCCCACTGCGTCCAGCATGGATTTTCTCACGCAAGTGTCCTTAACCAACCAAGTAGCCCCAGTAGAGCAGTATCCAGCATCGGATTTTTCTTCTCAAACCCTATTGAAACGACAAAGGAAAAAACCATTCAAACCATACTTGAAACAAGCTAAATATAGTGTACCTGATCATAAACAATAATAGGTTGATTTCATTAGGATAAAAACTCGAAAATCATGAGAAAAAGATTCTCGGAAAATATGAGATCCATTTCCTCATCAAGAAGATGCATTGAATATCAGAAAGCCTAAAAAAAGGCAAACTTAGCCCCCGTTTGCCCCATTTTTTGGAAATGAAAATGGGTGAAATAACATTTTTTTGAAAAATGAATTGTTGAAAAAGAAGTAAAAGTTTTTTATTTGTATATAATATTATTTTATGGATGAATGTGTAATTGAAAAAAAAAAAATGAAATATAATGGAAAGAAAATTAATGTGGCAAACTGTTACTGGGGGCTAATTGCCAAGGCAAGTTGCCTCCTTAAATTGAACCCTCCCTCATCCACTCTACATCCAAAACTCAGACTCGCTCGTAGTCCACTTCGCCGACTGACCATTTTGAATATATATTTAAACACGCACACAGTCACTTCCTAATTGGTCACCGGAATCCCCATTTTCTCCGCTACAGCGCCTACACCAATGTTGTCCTACACAACCATCCAAGAGGCGGAAGCTGCCCTGGGACGGCCCCTCACGGCGGCGGAAACCTTATGGTTCAACTACACCGCCACCAGATCAGACTACTTCCTCTACTGCCATAACATACTTTTCCTCTTTCTCATTTTCTCCATTTTCCCCTACTACTATCTCTTCCTGGAATTCTTCTTCAGTAACTCAATTAAGCCTTACAAAATCCAGCCCAAAGTCAAGCTCTCCTTCTGCGACACCCTCGGCTGCTACAAATATGTCATGCGCATGTTCTTCCTCGTTGTGGGTCCTCTCCAACTCGTCTCCTATCCATCTGTCAAGGTATTCATTTTCAGTTAAGTATGTACATTTTGAAAATTTTGTAGGTAATTGTGAATTATGAATTAAATGGAATATTATTTCAGAATCCCACAGTGCAAATTCTTTTATCGAGATTTTATTTTGAAGTCAAATTCGTTTTGCATTCAAGCAACAGAGGATTTACGTTTAGCTCGATTGGTATTGCCAATCTTGGAATCTGATTACTTGTTTGAACTTGTTGAATTGCTCAAGCGTAGATTATTGGTTTCGTAGATATTGAGCTACCCGTAAAAGTATTTTTCATTTTTTATGTTTTGCTCTTATTTTTTTTAATTGATCTGAAAGAGCGTTCTATTGTTTATTCTTGAATTTAATTTTCTAAGCTGAATGTATATGTTTGCCAATGGTTGAAGATGATAGGTATTAGAACGAGCTTGCCATTACCTTCTATGTGGGAAATTGTAGCACAACTGGGGGTGTATTTTATCATAGAGGACTATACAAACTATTGGATCCATAGATTTCTGCATTGCAAGTGGGGATATGAGAAGATTCACCGGGTGCATCACGAGTACACAGCTCCAGTTGGGTTTGCAGCAACTTACGCGCATTGGGTGGAGATTTTGATCCTCGGGATTCCCTCATTTCTTGGGCCCGCCATCGTCCCAGGGCACATGATAACCTTCTGGTTGTGGATTGGACTGAGGCAAATTGAGGCTATTGAGACTCACAGTGGGTAATGCACGCATGCTTAAAGCTTATGCTCTGCCTTATTTATCTTAGTACTTTAGCTAATTTGACGAAATGATGGCTTAACAGTTCCATTTAATCACTGTTTACTTTTGGAATTTCTTATTATCATTGTAAAGTGAATTGAACTGATGGGATGATGTCAATAATAGTGGATTAACTTTCGTGTGCAAGGATGATGAACCTTGGTAAATGAATTCTGTATACCTTTATTATTATTCTCCTTTTTTCTTTTATCATTCTTCCTTGTGTTTTAGTAGGCAACTGCCTCCGGCATTGTTAACTTGCTTCTCTTTGTTTTTTTGGGTGAATATCATGTTCCATGTAAATTTATGCAGTTCACTTGTTTACATATCTACTTGCACGACAAATCCCACCAAAATGTGATATCATAGTGATCTAACTTTAACTTGCCCTATGCGGGTTGAATAAAATTGGCTAACATGCTTTTATATGTCCAGTCAATCATGATCTGGTTTGTTTTTTATCTAGCCAATTTGGTTTGAAATTCTTATGCAAAAATAATGGAACTGAATGAAGACGTTTCAGTTGTTTAAGTACCAAAGATAAGATACTGACTGGACATGGCAATTGTCGACTTGAATTTGTGCCCAATATAGCTAAGCTCCCATCAGACACGAAAATGCATATGTTATCTTGTACTCAGCATACTTAAAAAGCATCCTTTCCCCCCATTTATTCCTCAGGTGATTTCTTCTAAAATATAATGCAAGCAAATGATGCATCACGTGTTGATTCTAACTTGTTGTCATGTATTCAAATATAGGTACGACTTTCCTTGGACTCCAACAAAATATATTCCATTTTATGGTGGTGCAGATTACCATGATTACCATCATTATGTTGGCGGACAAAGCCAGGGTAATTTTGCTTCAGTATTCACCTATTGCGATTATATTTATGGGACTGACAAGGTGATTATACAATTTTATCATTTATCTGATATGATTTGGCTTCAAAATGATCATATTCTAACTCAATACTGCTCTTTTATTTCATCTCACAGGGATTCCGCTATCAAAAGAAGGTCATCCAGCAGGTAAATAACACTCTCATCCCATCGTCAGTTCTATATATTTTTCTATATGTAAGGAATCTGATGGTCGAACAGGTTTGCATAAACTAACTAGAGACTATCATTTGAGAAATAATAGTTTTTGAATTTTCCTAATTTTTAGAATTTCCAGATATCAGATTCCTTGGTATTGCAACTTTTAATCATTTTTACGCACATGCTGCTCTTTTTAATGAAACTTGCTTGGTTTTTTATTATAGATGCTGATTACATATCTTTCTAGCATGTATTAAACTGAGTAATGCTATATGTACATAATGATGTATATAATGGCGTACATAACGATAATATGGAATGGAGAGAGATTATAATCGTTGAATTTCTTTTCTTTCTGTCTCTTTTTTTCTCTCTCTCTTCCATGTCATCATTATGCACACCATTATGTACACAATTACATACAAATATCATTACTCTTATTAAAGTACTCGAGAGAATGTTTGACTAAGCTTAAAAAGTTTACCTACATAAATTTTCTTGTGTGTAAATAAGTAAGTTTTGATCAAAGCTGGAAATAGGTTAACCTATTTTGAGACTACGGTAATAGTTAGTTCCAAAGTACGTAACTTTTCTTTTTTAGCTTAGCCAAACATGCCAAGTCTATTACTTTTCTCCTTGTTTGGCCATGAGTTGGCAAGCATTTCTTTGTACATTGTTTGTGTTTGTGTTTGACTATATTTTTAATATGGTTCAGTTGTGGGAGGGACAGATTTACAATCAGGAAGAAAACCAAGTTTTGCCCAACATAACTGCCAAAGATCATAAACTTGACTAGTTTTGGGAAGTCAGAACTATCTTGCAATGATGGCATACTCTCGACTGCTTTTGATTAGCGACAGCAAGTTAAGCCTTAGGTCTCAAGTCGACCTCAGGTGTAGTCTTCTAGCAATGTATGTAGAAAGCTTTTCTTGATTTGGAATTGTGGTATCGTGCAGTCTTGTATATTACTTACTGCTACGAGCTTGTGCTTCGTCAATGTGTTGGTGTGTTCAGACAAGATCTTTAAATCAATCAGATGGCTTGTGATTTTGAATTTTGCAATACATTTTTATCTTTGAAACTCTTTAAAAATAAGATGATCTTTATTCTAAAGAGTCGAATATTAAAATTAAGTTACAAGATACTTTATTTTAACTTTTTAAATAGAGAGTGAGTTTGGTTCTTTGCATTTGGAAGGTCAAACTCACTCTTTCTTTGTATTTAATCAAAATTGCATTTAATAAAATTTTAAGTTTCAACTCAAGGGGCTAGCTAAATACAAGTAGGGTTATTGTCTAATTGAGAGGTAGTGCTTTAGCTTGTGGTGAGCGAGTAGCTCTTGTAGGCGGACAATTGTATGACAAGACTACGAAGGTAGAGAGCCTCTATGGTAGAATCAATTGGGGAGTCTGAGAGGTAATGGTTTATTCTATGGCGGAGAGAGTAGCTCTTCTAGGCGGACAACTATGTGACAAGACTAAAGGAAAATAATTGCACTACTTAAATTATTCATATTATATTGAATATTTTAAATTGGAAAATATGAGGGGAAAAAAAAAGAAAAGAAGAAGAAATAAATTAATGTTGGACAGGGTAAAATAGAAGGTAAGTGTGTACTCTTTAAATTTGAAGACGTTCATATTATACTATAACCAATAATTATCTTTAGAATAAATAGTCT